AAAAAAAAATAGGGAGCAATCATATGATATGGTATTTTTTTTTTTTTAAATAAAAATAAAAATTCACAGATTCACGTGGATCAGATTGAAACAGATTCATATTACCGTTCACGGAAGATTTATGTAGAGCAAAAGTGCTGATAACGTGTTGTATTGCAAGTTTGTTTAGCTCGCGAATAACAGTAAAAACAGGAAGAAGAAAATAAAGAACAGAGGAAGGAGATTTCTTATTCATTCATCAATTCTGTACATCACTTCATCAATATATATAACAACTATTACAAGATCATACCATGAATATAAAGCCGTTACAAATCATATCATTAATGCTAGAATAATGTCCATAATTAGATTTTACAACAATAACAATGAATATTGTATTGTGCAATTGATGAAATGAGTTGGATATATTATGTTTTCTAATGTTATCCTTGCTTGATTTTGATTTATACAATTTATACAATTAAAATTTATAAACTTAGTTGACAAAAATATAATAGGTCTAACATTTCTCATCGGGACGACTTAAACAATGCAAATATCCAATGGTTTGTCTCAACATTTTCATGAATATATTATTAATACTATTGAACACCATGAACTGTTCAATGGTTACTGTATTGAACACCGTGAGCTGTTCTTATAAATGCATAACATTAACTCCAAAAATTCATAACATTAACTCCACAAATTAAGCTAAACAAATATCTCAAAGTATACACTTCAAACATAATTATTATATTGTATATATATTTTGGTTTCACTTAGAGATTTCACTTAGTTCCAAAAATATAAAATTAGAATAAATGTGGCAATAGTCTGGTGAGTCATCTATCAATTAAACTAATAACAACATCTTAACTATAATAAAGCTATATGGTTTGAGAAGTAATTAATGTTACAATTATTATCTCTATCCTTATTAATTAGTTATTATTATTATTATTATAAAATAGCCACAACATCCTTTACTATAAAAAAAAAAAAAAAAAAAAAAACAGCATTTGAAAAATAAAATAGCTATTTTTTTCTCGCCCATAACAAAGGATTACATTTATTGAATTAATGGAGTTATTAACTGTTATGATATTATGATTAAGGATTCCGATTCCCGATTAATAGAAAATATGAAATGATGCAATATTAATTAAATCTCTGACTTTACAATGAAAGTCTATTTGATATGCTTTTGTTATCTATGGTGCCTCTTGGGATTACAATATTAATTAAATTTTCGATGAAAGCCTATTTGATATCCAAAACAGTGCAATTAATGAAAGCATCTACATATAATTTTTCTCCTATAAAACACCCCAGTTCAAATCCATGTGAGCGTAAACTGCAGCAATTTGTCCTACCATTTGTGTATTTTCATGGCCATGGCGGGCTGACAGCGGAGGAGACAAAAGATGGTAGAATGTAGAGGAGGCTCTAACAATCACACCTATCTAAAAACAAAGGAGTAAACAAAAGAGAAGAATCGTGGAAAGTGGTAGAAAAAATGGAGCCAGACATTAAGGAACCACTTTCTATAGGTAGAGATTTTGGAGTTTACTTTTCTATCTTCTCAAATGCTTCAAAGAAATGGCAGAAGCGAGAAGGGATGAAGAAAACAAATGCTGCGTGCCATGGGTCAATTATTGAACTTCAGAATTAAAAAAAAAAAATTCATTTGAGCCATAAATAAAAATTTAAATATATAAATGTATATATCATATAGGTCTTTAATGTTTTTCTGGATTTCTAAACTTAGGACTTTTTAAAGAAAAAAAATCTATTTGAATTATCTCCACAAAAAGTGGTCTTGGGCTTATAGAATGACATGTGGATTTATGGATTGACATTTGCATAAAGAATATATTATATAATCATATAAAAAAATGTGTTCAATTGGAGTTTATATTTACTCCTACAAAATTTGAAATTTGCTTTCTAAATATAATTATCTTAGTTATTATTCGTATTGTGAAAATTATAATATAGTTGAAATACAATTAAGAATAAATCAATGTAATTATGTAAATTCTCTTATAAGTTTATTTGAATATGTACATTGTTGAGCATATTGCCATTAATGTGCAATCCAGCTATTAGCTTAGGCTTTTAGTTGAGCTGGAATTTTAGTTCCTGAGATTTTAGGAAGAAAAAAAGATACTGATGAGTCAAAATTACCCCTTCATTTTTTAACCTAAAATTAATGCCTAACGACAACAATGAACATTTTTGACTTTATACTATTTATTCCCTTTCAATTCTCATGTATACCAAACATTGGAATTGAAATTCCAGTAATTCTATTCCTGTAAACCAAAGTACCAAACACTAGAATTTAAATTCCCACTTTATTCCCAGTAATTTATCTCCCATGGAATTGCAATTTCTTTCCCACGTAATTCCCCCTCTCCAACCAAACGCCCTGTAAAGGTATTACTAGTTGAGATACTTGTTGATAAATTATCTAAATGATCTTGAATTTGAATCTCATTGCAAGCCTTTTTATCTAAGGGGCTAAGGAGTTGTTAACTATGCAATTGACGATGCAAGTTGTTAACTAAGGAAGCTATTGAGTCAATGACTAAGGATGTCAGGAAGTGGAACAAGTGGTAGCATGAAGTCAAATACATGTATGAACACATGGTCTAAGTTCAAATTCTATGTGGAATAATATTTGGAGTTCTTCTACCAACTAAAAAGGCACTATCTAAGCAAGTTTTGTGACGAAGTATCACGAAGGATCGTGCACCAGATCGACAAGAAGAAATTGTCCAAGATGATTTTATGGACAGCAATATTTTTACGGAGATACTCAGAGAAGGCTAGCTGATTCACAAAGATATTATTTTATACTTAAGCAAGAATCAACAGGATAATTATTTGATTAACTTGATTTGTCAGATCAATTATACAGCCATAAAGTCAAGAGTTCACACGAAGAACTTATTCAAATTCTGGAGGCTACATCTTTCAATGGACTTTATGTCAGATCTGCATATATGCAACGATTGGATTATTTGAATTATCTGACAAAGGCGGAAAGGCTATCATCTAGAGTTGTAGATCAAGTTGATAACTTTATTTTTGATCAACTACATACGAAGATGGACGATCGAGATCGGAAGTTGATCAACGGGCAAATAACTTTCATTGGCTATAAATTGTCCAAGAAGACTTGAAGAATGAACATGGCTGATCGATCAAGATACACAAGCGAGAGAAAAGCAAGCAATATTCAAATCAGCCAAAAAGGGGATCTAAGCTTCATTAGAAATATTCTATTTCTTTGTAAACATCTCTACTGAGTGTAGAAAGAGGGCGGAGTAACAACGGGAGTGTGAAAAACCCTGGTTGAGTATAGCTTTGTGCGTAGCACTCGTTGTAAAGGGTAGAGTAACAAGAGGAGCTTGTGAAAACCCTGTGTGAGTGTAGCTTTGTGCGTAGTTCTCGTGGTGTAGGAGTACAACTTGGTGCGAAGTACTCGGGGGAAAGCGTAGTAACAAGAGGAGCTTGTGAAAAACCTTGGACGAGTGTAGCTTTGTGTGTAGCACTCGGGAAGTGTTGGCGGGCACTGATTCACTATTGTATTTGGGTGATCGAAGAATAGTGAATTTCCTCATTGGAGTGAAAGGAGAAGAGTGGAGTAGGAGAATTACACCATCTCCGAGCCACTATAAATCTCTCTCTCTCTCTCTCTCTCTCTACTCTGTTTAATTTAATGCTTATTTACTTTGTGCATGCTTTATCTATGAACTAACCCGTAACGATTTATCGCATATCTTTAACTGTCTAGGTTTGATAGTTTCCACGTTTGCATGTGAACCAAATTTTGCATACATCATCTTTGAGCCATATCAAGTGTTTTGAACGTGTTGCATGTTTAGAATCTCTCTTTGAGCACCGCACAATCAAACATAACACTTTACCGTTACTTATTCCGCTGTGCACACTCTAAGTTGATTAGTTGTTTATACTTGTTACTTGGAGTTGAAATTACCAAAGTGTTGTGTGTTTAAGAGAAGTTTGAAAAGTTAGAGAAGTCTATTCACCCCCCTCTAGACTTCTCGCCACCCTCTCGGGACCAACACCAGTCCTTTAGGTGTTTTGTTCAGTGTTCATTTAGTTCAATCATTATTGTTGGATAAATTATTATTGATAAAGAAATTCCTAATTTAAGAAATTTAGGTGTAGTAAAAATTTGAATTTTTTAATTATAATGTTACCCAAAGATATTGGACGATTGGTAAATATGATGTAACCCAAAGATCAAAATGCTAAAGAAAGTGTTTGGTTATTCAACAGTTTGAAACAACAATTTGTTCCAAACCATTGAAAATACAAACATTGCAATTTACAATATTTTCACTTAGCGATTTTGAGAATAATTTCTCCAAAACACCTCTATATTTAAAAAAAAAAATAAAAAATTGTAGAACCATTTCGACTCATTGAATAACAAGAGCCAGTTTCCCTGGCTCACTACTTGCCCATCCGTTGATGGGCAAGCTTAATTTTTAAACTGGAGCCTTAAGGCTCCTTTTATAGGAGCCTCAAACCTCCCATGCCACTTTTCCCACTGATGTGGAAAAAGTGGCAAAACTAAGGGGAGCCGAACGTTCGGCTTGTTGAGCATATAACCATTAATGTGCAATCCAACTATCAGTTTAGGCTTTTAGTTGATATGGAGCACATGCTTCAATTCGGCTCCCCATATATTTTTTTTATTTAAATTTTATTTTTTTATTAAATTATTATTATTATTTTTTATTTTAAAAAAACAATTATTATTATTATTATTATTATTATTATTATATTATTATTATTATTATTATTATTATTATTATTATTAAATATATGTCTATTTTCATACTTCGTTACTTCATGTCTATTTTCACACTTCGTTACTTCATGTCTATTTTCAGTTTTCACACTTCGTCACTTCATGTCTATTTCTCCACACTTCGTCACTTCATGTCTATTTTCACACTTCGTTACTTCATGTATATTTCTCCACACTTCGTCACTTCATGTCTATTTCTCCACACTTCACGTCTGTTTCTCCACACCTCATGTCTATAAAGTTGTTTCGACAAAAATCGGCAGCTGCAGAAATTCAGAAAAGCATATCATTTTCTCTCTGTCTGTCTGTCTCTCTCGTCCCCCTATCGGCTATCCCTCTCGTTTTACCATTACTTCACTATTTCTCTCCACAGATTCTAACCCTAATCTATATTTTTGTTTACTCTGTAACTTTTAGGTTTTCTGTAATATATAGTCAGATAGTCAGATACACACGGAGATAGATACTTTGCATATGGCTTCGATCGTTAGTCGGTGTCTGATTTTTGTTGAAAGGAGAGGAATCTAGAAGAAGAAAAGGGAGGAGGAAAATCAGGGGGAGCTGCGATCGAACTCAGCCCACAAGACCCCAATACCGACGGGAAGACGACCTGCCGGACGATTAGGCCGAGGAAGGTAGCCGCCGGGAGGAAGAACGACGGTAGTAATACTATAATTGGAGGAGAGTAGTGCTAGTGGTGGATGGAGATGAAGATGAGGAGCGCGAGGGGAATGCTGTGAACAGAGTGACGTCGTTCGAGGGAGAGAATAGGACAAGATAGTGTTTTGAAGGAAGGTTGTTGGGGATAAGCTGATGGACGAGCACGATAGCGGTGGGCGAAGTGGGGATAAGGGTTTGGGCGCTCCCCTTCCAGAAAGGGTATAACTTCCTCTCCTCGGGTGATTTCCCCGAGGAGGAAGAATCCTAACATGGTATTCGTGACAAGGAAATGTTTGGAGTGGTTTACGTGTAAGGGAAAGTATCTTTTTCATAGGCGAGCTAAAAGGTATCTCGCCTTTCCCTTAGGCGAGATATATTTTTCTATTAATTTTTTGTAGACGGTAGAGTAAATACGGTAAACCACCGTATTTACTCCCAACCTACCGTATTTATTCCTTTAGGTTCCCAAGATATTCACTCCACCTTCTTTCTCCTCTTAAATATAACCCTATTTCAAGCTTTTTCTACCACTTCTTTCCAGCCAAAAAAACAGCTGTGCCATTACAGCCCAGCAAGAGAAATCAGTTTTCTTCTTCCTTCTTCCCAGCCAATAATCAATTTTTTTTTTCCTTTTTATACTATAGTTTAACCAATAATCAATTAAAACTTGTCACTAATGACATGTATGGTCCTATTACGATGGGTTTATTAATGAAAAAGATTTTAAAGGCATGTTTAGTCCACTTTTCTTAATGTTTATCTTCTACAATTTATTTTTTCATTAGAAAATAGAATAGTATTTGCACCCGTGCGATTCTCGGAATGAATTTGTTATAATATATTAAGAATATATGAATCGATATATAATTATTTAAATTAGAACATCAAATATTATATAGTGCAAATTAAAGATATGGTTTGGATCGTTTATATATTTTGATGTTATCATTGCTTGAATTTGTGCAAATAATTGGTCAAATTAATAGCTAATGTCTAGATGTACGCATATGGTGCTATAACTTTGAAGATTTTATTTATCATTATTTAGAATTTTCATAAATTAGGCAAATGTGCTCGTTCTCTAACAACTCAGTTATAGAAATGAATTGGTATCCTTATTCATTTGTATGGAAGATATATTTTTTTGTGTAGATATATAACAATTTTTTCATTTAAAAAAAATAATTAATATCACCGTTTTTGTATTTTATTACATTATAATTATGTTTCACTTTTAGTAATCATTAGTACTTATTTACTTATTTATTTAGTTAAACATCTAATCATTATATGTTACTAATTATTATACTAATCAAAAAATTTTTTTAAAAATATTGTATTTCACTGTATGTTTTTTTTTTCTTTTCCGTAATACTGTATTTCAATGTATATTCTTTATTTTTTTGTAATAAATTATATTAGAATGTTGCCTATGCTAAAGACCAGATTCCCTTTGGTGAATGTCGCCTTTCTCAAAGACACTTTCCCTGGTTGGTATCCCACTTTAGAGATTTCCCTATTTCGAAACCCACGCCAAAATATTTTCCCGATGAGTTAATGATTCTCCTCTTTCTCATTTCTGTATTCGTTTTAACATTTCTAAACAGTTGGTTTTTATATAAATTCCTCGTCTGATTTATATTGAGATTAACTGTTTTTTTTTTTTTTTTTTCTAAGTTAGGACAAGGGTTTCCTAAGCGATTTATGGGTAATTGAAAAATCAAAGTTTTCTATGTTGTAAAAGTTAATCTTTTTAATGGTTTGTGCTCATCGGACAATGTACTTCTTTGATATCACCTCTATGCCTGCTAGTAGGAACCGAAGAACACCATTGCTTGTTTTACATATAAAAGATTGTTTTCAAATATGTTATCTTTTGCTTGTAGATTTTGGATAGAAATTAGTTAACAAGTTTTACCTCCCGATGAATTCATTTGTTTTTGTATGAAACAGGTCCAGGTTTGTGGATCTCCTGCATATAAGATTGAGAGGAAGCTCGGGAAAGGAGGATTCGGTCAAGTGTATGTTGGCCGTCGCACTAATCCTCCAAATCCGACTGAAAGAACTGGTCCAGGAGCTATAGAGGTGATATTCTATGCTTCCCTAATTAATACATTATGGTCTATGGATTTTTTTTTTTCTTCATGTTTGTAATGACTTAAACTTTTTTTTTTTAATAAATTTTATTTAGGTAGCCTTGAAATTTGAGCATAGAAGCAGCAAAGGTTGTAAGTATGGACCGCCTTATGAGTGGGAAGTCTACAAGTAAGTATGACTACTTATGGTTGCTAGTGGTACTGTATACCTAAATTGACATCCATGGCTGTTTTTCGGTGCCCTTGGAGGTAGTCATGGCATACCACGCGTACATTATAAAGGTCTCCAAGGCGATTACTGTATTATGGTATGTAAGATCTTTTAATATGCACTGACTATATCTTAGTATTTAAGTGTGAACATGACCAGTAGCATTGCGAAAATATTTTCAGGTTATGGATATGCTTGGTCCTAGTTTATGGGATGTTTGGAATAACAATTCCGACATGTAAGTTCCCTCGAGGAAAATCATGACGATGCTTAGGCAATCATATTGTCTCTTCTACCAACTAATATACTCATGTATCACATATTTATTTCCTAAAATCAGGATGTCAATTGAAATGGTAGCATGCATTGCCATTGAAGCAATCTCAATACTAGAGAAGTTGCATTCTCGAGGGTAAGTTTTTAATACCTAAAATTGCTTTGTTCTTCTAGCACATTTGGGAAGCTAAGCTATGTATTGTTTACTTAAACAGTGGACAATGTATTTGAAGCACAAGCATGGGTCTCTGCATTCCTTGGCATAATATAATATAATGTTTGCTTGGCCCAGCTTATTTTGCAGCTTATCTGCCCCAAAAGGCAGATGCTAAGGCCAATCAGTAAAATGCTTTTCTGGCCAGATAAATGGAAAATGCTCCATTTTCAAAGAGCCCCAACTTAATGCTTTTCATGAAATCTTCTGTTTGAATAATTCATTTACTTGGCCAGACACTACATTTCAATTAATTTTATTGCATTTTCGACTTTGGAATAATATAGGTTATGATGAACATCTGACTGCCTAATTGTCTGCAGATATGTGCATGGGGATGTAAAACCAGAGAACTTTCTTCTTGGACCTCCCGGAACTCCTGATGAGAAAAAGTTGTTCCTTGTTGATCTTGGTTTGGGTAAGTTCTAAATCTATCGTGCAGTCTACAAATCTGCATTTATTTTTGGGTTTCTTATGTTAATGCTGATCTTCCGAACTATCCTCCATTTTCTTTTCACTTCAGCTACAAGGTGGCGTGACACTTCAACAGGCGCACATGTTAAATATGATCAACGTCCTGATGTTTTCAGGTAGACAAATGAATCATTATTCACCTTTAATTGTATTTTGTGGTCTTGGTTTTGACATTGATTAATTTATTTGACCAACTAAATGAGAAATGATACTATCATTGCTTCAGAGGGACAGTATGTTATGCAAGTGTGCATGCTCATCATGGAAGGATTGCAAGCCGAAGAGATGATTTAGAGTCCCTTGCTTACACACTCGTCTTCCTTCTCCGTGGACGGCTGCCTTGGCAGGGATACCAGGTTTGCATTCATGTACTTTGAAGGAGTTATTTGCTTACAATACTCGTTTCGTAACACAACATGGTCGCATTAGGGTGAGAACAAAGGGTTCCTTGTCTGCAAGAAAAAGATGTCTACTTCTCCAGAAATGCTCTGTTGCTTCTGCCCTAGTCCTTTTAGGCAGTTTGTTGAATATGTTGTGAATTTGAAGTTTGATGAGGAACCAAACTATGCCAAGTACATTTCTCTTTTTGATAGAATAGTTGGTCCAAATCCAGACATCAGACCAATTAAAACAGATGGTGCCCAAAAGGTATGATATGTACATTGATTTTCAGATGTTTCCTTAGTGCTTAACTTTTTGTGGACATGTTTCAATGTTCATTTGGAATGTTTCTGACAACTAGTACTGTCTTCTTTAAAATATATATGAAGCTTATTTACCAAGTTGGACAGGAGAGAGGAAGATTGACGATGGAAGAAGATGACGATGAACAACCTAAAACGAAGGTCCACATGGGCATGCCTGCTACAAACAATGCTCGTCAGCCTATGAACCAAAGGTACTTTCTATAGAGTAGTATATATCTTGTGTGATTGTGAACTGGTTAAAAATGGTCTTATCCATAAACGAAAAATGTTTTGAAAACCATTTGGTATTTGTAGGTATCACTATAATGTTGGTGAGCAAATTGTGAGCAAGGAGGTAATTGCTAGTTTGGATGCCATGAAAGAACAAATAAATGAGCATCTTTCAAGATTGTGCCAAAAGATGGAGTTGCATCATTCAATATTGTGCCAAAAGATGGACTTGTTGTTGCAAGGCAATAGCACAATTAAGTTGGAAATTGATCGCATGACAATGAAAATTGACTCTCAAACACGTGACATCTTAAAAGTGTTGAGAGAGTACAAAGCTCAAGATGTGAAGCGAGAAGCAAGGTTACAATGCTTGGAGGCAATGGTAAATCTTTTTCTTGCTCAATCGGGTCAAGCTAATGATAACCGGGCAAGTTAAGGAGAGGTTCTACAATGATGACTTTGATGACGACTTTGTGAAGATGCGAGAGCACATCAACAAGATGTTGCAAAAGGAGAAATCAAGATAAAAATTTGCTACATTTGTTGTTTGTATCTTTTTTTTTTTGGTTGCTTAAACATGTGTATACGGCCAAGTGTTATGTTATTTTGCTATATTTTGATTATGCCATATTTTGGGCTTGTTTGGCAAACAGCGGTTTATGCTAGCGGGTTTGACCATCGGATCGTATTAGTGGTTTATAAAAAGATGTTTGACAAAATTAGCTGTTTAATATTAGTTGTTAACATGTAAAATGACTTAAAAGGATATACATATATTTCATAATAGCTCCCTTTATTCTTTTTTCTTTTTTTTTTTTAAATTTTGTTATAATAATAATAATAATAATAATAATAATAATAATAATAATTATTATTATTATTATTATTATTATTATTATTATTATTATTATTATTATTATTGTGAGCAAGGGTTAATTATTATTATTATTATTATTATTATTATTATTATTATAAAATAAATTAAAAGAAAAAAAAAATATTAGGGGGAAAAGTGGGAAAAGTGGAAAGAGCCTCAAGTCTCAAATATTAAGTTGTAATTTCTAGAAGATGGATAGTCAGCGGCCTCCCAGCCTGTTAATTTATTTATTTATTTTTTTTTTTTGGCCCTCGGTCTGGAAGAACAGAGGTAGTCGGTTCTGACTACTAAAAGACACTTAACAAGGGGCAACGGTGACAAGCACCTGGGCGACTAGGCTCTGAAGTCGAAGTGTCCCTAACCAGGTACTGAGCTAGCCCACACAACTTTTATCGTCACTTAATTGAGTGCATCAGCCAGTAATCGAACCCGAGTCTGTACCATGGCAGGGTACTATTCTAGCACTAGACCACTGGTGCTTCTTGTTCTGAACCACTGAATTACTTATACTTCGTAGTGGCGTATCACCAAAAGTTCTCTAAATCAATAGACGATCAAAATATTGTCAAGATGAACCTGTCCGATCAAGAAATTTAGGAGAATTACAATTGTATTATTCAAATGACTATTGATGAATGATCAATATAATCAAGTTTTACGAAAAAATATTTAAATAAATAAAATTAAATTAAGCCAAAGATCAGTGACAAGTTATTATCAAAACGTGTGATAAAAGAAAATAATGAAGAATTTCTTATCATCAAGAGTGCAAGAAGATAAAAATGTAAAAAAAAAAAAAAAAAAAAAAAAAAGAGTAGACCAAAATAAAGAAATTTTATCTTATTGTAATACTTTTTAGACTTTTGTAAAAAGTAGAAGTGATTTTTTAATAATCTCTTAAGACATATGTTCTACCTTTTTTTTTAATTTTTATTTATTTATTTTTTTTCTATATATGGTATTAAAAAATGGAATTTTTATATACACACCAAAATAAGAGCCATGCGAGAATGATAGCATAAATGAATACTTTTGAAATTCATTTTAGGCACAAAACAAATGTACTCAATCAAAAAGAACAAACAAATGAAATCGAACACAAGTTCGTATATCATGTGATAAATACACCCACTAAAAGACACTTAGCAAGTGGGTCCCCTTCACAAGGGGCAACGGTAACAGGCTCCCCCCTGGCGACCAGGCTCTACCGTCAGTGTGTCCCTAACCAGGTACTCAGCTAGTCCACACAGGCTCTACAGTCAGTGTGTCCCTAACCTGATTCAATTCCCGGCTAGTGCACTCAATTAGGGTACTATTCTACAACTTGACCAATGGTGCTTCTTATTCTGAACCACTGAATTACATATACTTTGTAATGGCGTATTACCAAATGTTATCTAAATCAATAGACTATCAAAATATTGTCAAGATGAATCTGTCCTATCAAGAAATTTAGGAGAATTACCATTGTATTATTCAAATGAGTATTGATGAATGGTCAATATAATCAAGTTTTACGGTAAAATATTTATATAGATAAAATTAAATTAAGCAAAAGATTAGTGACAAATTATGATCAAAAGGTGTGACAAAAGAAAATAGAGAAGAATGTCTTATCATCAAGAGTGCAAGACGATAAAATGCAAAAAAAAAAAAAAAAAAAAAAAAAAAGAAAAAAAAGACCAAAATAAAGAAATTTTATCTTATTATACTACTTTTAAGACTTTAGGAAAAATTAGAAGTGATTTTGTAATAATCTCTTAAGACATATCTTCTAAGCATTTTTTATCCTATATATGATATTAAATAATGGAATTTATATATATACACACCAAAATAAGAGCCATGCGAGAATGATAGCATAAATGAATACTTTTGAAATTCTTTTTTAGGCACAAAACAACTGTACTCAATCAAAATGAACAAAAAAATAAAATCGAACACAAGTTCGTATATCATGCGATGATACCCCCATTCGGCACTTGGCCTGGAAGAACATAGGTAGTCGGTTCTGACTACTAAAAAACACCCCTTCACAAGGGGCAATAGTGAGGGGCACCAGGGCGATCAGGCTCTACAATCAGTGGGTCCCCGATTGAGTACGAATGGGCGACCAGTCTCTGTAGTCGGAGAATCCTTAACCAGGTACTCAGCAAGCCCGCACAGCTTTTGTCGTCAATTAATTGAGTCCACCAGCCGAGAATCGAACCCGGGTCTGTATCGTGGCAGGTACTATTCTACCACTAGACCACTGGGTCTTCATTTTCTGATTCACTAAATTACTTATACTTCGTAGTGGCGTATTACAAAAAGTTCTTTAAATCAATAGACTATCAAAATATTGTCAAGCAGAACCTGTCCTATCAAGAAATTTAGGAGAATGACCATTGTATTATTCATCCAAAAAGGCTGAACCCCAACCCTAAGGGCCCCCCACACCTCGACCCGACAGAGCATTTTGGAGGATGTAAATCATGGTAACTCAACTGAACATGAACCACAGAGGCTAGACATGTGCTCACTGCGCACAAGGAAACCCCCCTCACTTTGAGAGGTTGCTCCCACACTACCGCTGGTGAGACTCGATTCATGGTCAAATGAGAATTACCATTGTATTATTCAAATGACTACTGATGAATGAACAATATAATCAAGTTTTACGGTAAAATATTAAAATAGATAAAATCAAATTAAGCTAAAGATCAGTGATAAATTAGTATAAAATGGTGTGACAAAAGAGAATAGAGAAGAATGTCTTATCATCAAGAGTGCAAGAAGATAAAAATGCAAAAAAAAAAAAAAAAAAAAAAACAAAAAAACAAAAAAAAAAAAAAAACCAAAATAAAGAAATTTTATCTAAATAAATAGACTATCAAAATATTGTCAAGATGAACCTGTCCTATCAAGAAATTTAGGAGAATTACCATTGTATTATTCAAATGACTACAGATGAATGATCAACATAATCAAGTTTTATAGTAAAATATTTAAATAGATAAAATCATATTAAGCCAAAGATCAGTGACAAGTTATTATCAAAAGGTGTGACAAAAGAAAATAGAGAAGAATGTCTTATCATCAAGAGTGCAAGAAGATAATAATGCAAAAAATGAAAAAAATAAGACACCAAAATAAAGAAATTTTGTCTTATTTTACTACTTTTTAGACTTTTGTAAAAAGTAGAAGTGATTTTTTAATAATCTCTTATGACATATCTTCTACGCATTTTTTTTCCTATATATGATATTAAATAATTGAAATTTTATATACACACCAAAATAAGAGCCATGCGAGAATGATAACATAAATGAATACTTTTGAAATTCTTTTTTTAGGCACAAAACAAACGTACTCAATCAAAATGAACAAACAAATGAAATCGAACACAAGTTTGTATATCATGCGATAGATACCCCCATCCGGCACTCGACTTGGAAGAACGGAGGTAGTCGGATGCTAAAAGACCCTTAGCAAGTAGGTGACGGCCACACCGGTGACCTAGCTCTACAATCAGTTTATCCCTAATCGAATACGAATGGGCAATCCGTCTTTATAGTCGGAGTGTCCTTAACTAGGTACTCAGCTAGCCCGTCGTCAATTAATTGAGTGCACCAGTCGGGAATCGAACCCGGGTCTGTACCGTGGCAAGGAACTATTTTACCACTTAACCACTGGTGCTTCTTTTTTTGAACCACTGAATTACTTATAATTCGTAGTGGCGTATTACCAAAAGTTCTCTAAATCAATAGACTATCAAAATATTGTCAAGATGAACTTGTCCTATCAAGAAATTAGGAGAATTACCATTGTATTATTCAAATGACTACAGATGAATGATCAACATAATCAAGTTTTACAGTAAAATATTTAAATAGATAAAATCATATTAAGCCAAAGATCAGTGACATGTTATTATCAAAAGGTGTGACAAAAGAAAATAGGGAAGAATGTCTTATCATAAAGAGTGCAAGAAGAAAAAAATGCAAAACTGAAAAAAAAAAAAAAAAAAACAGACCAAAATGAAGAAATTTTATCTTATTATACTACTTTTTAGACTTTTGTAAAAAGTAGAAGTGATTTTTTAATAATCTCTTATGACATATCTTCTACGCATTTTTTTCCTATATATGATATTAAATAATGGAAATTTTATATACACACCAAAATAAGAGCCGTGCGTGAATGATAACATAAATGAATACTTTTGAAATTCTTTTTTAGGCACAAAACAAATGTACTCAATCAAAATGAACAAACAAATGAAATCGAACACAAGTTTGTATATCATGCGATAGATACCCCCATCCGGCACTCGGCCTGGAAGAACGAAGGTAGTCAGTTCTGACTGCAAAAAGACACTTATCAAGTAGGTGACGGGCACCCGGGCTCTACAGTCACTGTGTCCCTGATCGAGTACGAATGGGCAATCAGTCTCTATAGTCAAAGTGACCTTAACCAGGTACTCAGCTAGCCCGCACAACTTTTGTCGTCAATTAACTGAGTGCACTAGCCGGGAATCAAACCCGGGTCTATACCGTGGCATGGTACTATTCTACCACTAGACCACAGGTGCTTCTTTTTTTGAACCACTGAATTACTTATACTTCGTAGTGGCGTATTTCCAAAAGTTCTCTAAATCAATAGACTATCAAAATATTGTCAAGATAAACCTGTC